CCCCTTTCCCAGAGTTGAGAGTTACAGCGTCGGAGTTGATCAGAACAAAAGGGTAGGTGACACAGATCTTGCCTCGCCTAATTTACGATGGCGGTGTGCTATGCGCAACCTATCGGTGTCCATGCGTCCACTCGTGTGCATGGTGTGTGACATTGTGTGAGTCAAGGCATTCTAAACTTGTTTCAAGGCAGAGTTCCAAACAGTCACAATCAGGGTGTTTACGGATAGTCGCTCCAGACAGTCAACGATCTCTATTTCCTCGAGACTGCCCTGTCAGGAGTGGCAACTCTTTGCACCCATATTGCTTCACAAATCGTTGCACACTGCGCAGGGACTGTCATGTGATAGCTTCACTCCGCTGTTACTTTTCGGAAGCTTATTAAAAAAAAAGCCCGATGCCGACTGATACAAGCGCTGGTGAGTAGACTTTTCGGGTTACAATCTAGTTTCAGCGGCCTCGTACTCGTACCTTATCTATGATCAGGGAGGCCTGCAGATATATACATATACCTATTTCAGGCTCCCAGTCCCTAGCTGATCACATTGAGATGACATAGGTCACGGAACGAACGAGTTAGTAGACACCCTTAGCAAACAACGGTAACGCTATTTTTTACGGTACTCGTACCTTGATCACCCAAATAGCGTTGAAGCTGCAGCGTATAAACGTTATGGGGGCCGATTTATCGTTGTGACCAACGGTACGTGTTTTGGCCAAATATTGCATAGTCCGTACGCATTTCACCTTGTATCGCGTAGATGGTGACAAAAATGGTTGTACCGCGCGAAATCAAAGCTTCTCGTGGCAACAGCGTACTAAAAATAGCGTGCATCTTGCTAAAGGTCGAACCCAAATCACGGTATTTTCCCCCTTACGATAATACCGTTACAACATAACGTTTTTTGCTAAGGGTGTCTAGTATGTCCCACTAATTACGTTTCCACTTAAAATATTCGCATATTGGCTAGTCATGCCCAGAAATCCGCGACATCCCAGCAGCAGCCCAGTCTGCGGTTGCGGACTTGCAGTGATTCTCTTCATGTCACCCATGCCCTTTACAGCAGACAGCTTCATTGTCCATCATAATAATCAGCCCATGGCCACTTTTCATCACTGGTGCACTGCCAATTTGTTCTGTCAGCTAAGCCAGCGCTTTTCTCTCCCATATGACAGGATTGTGTCCTGTTGCAGCAACAACAACACGTAGCGCCGTTCACCTAGCTCAGCCACGTGACCTTCCCGCATTCACTGGTTTACAATGTATGTATTGTGTCATGCGTGCATGTTCCAACATGGACCCATCTCTGACGGTAGATTACCAGTCGCATGGTCGCTCGACTGGTCTAGGGGTCACAACCGGACAAGCAGCACCATCACAATGTTCTCGGCAAGCTCCGTGCAGCTTGCTTGGAAGCACGAAGGTCTGATCCGCCCACTTCGTCTCCATCGGTGTCGATGCATTGTGCACACAGTAATTGGCAAGAACACATGTGCTGCGTTCTCAGGAAGGAGAAAGTTAGCTGTTGACTGGGCGATTTCCGATTACTTCTGTCTAGCACGGGAGGGGGGGGGGGGCAGGCAGGCAGCGCACCGTAGAGACAAATAGAAGGGCCTGCAAGCGGCTTATTGACACAACCCTGGTTTGAAGTCAGCGCGTGAACAGACATTAAAGCTATCTACGGCTTTGATGTTCGTGGTCCACAATCATGCTGATTGTGTATTCGGAGTGAGTACGAGTCGTACAGTGTGCTATTATTGTTATTATTCCGTTATTCCACGATGGCGTGATGCCAATAAGGAAGATTGATAAGTAGTTAACAGGTACTGCTCAAAAGAAGACTGGATGCAGTGTTTCGGAAATAATTTCTACGATGCTGGGTTGTGATGTCGATAGGGAGTGAGTTGTAGAGGGTGAGGGCACTGTTGATGGGGGAAGCCTGTTTGTGTGTGCGTGTCCGATGGAGTAGGTCCTTGTCTGTCGAAGGGTGTATGGTTGGTGTTGACCTTGTGGTGCAAGATGTGGTTGTTGCAGGTGTGGTGGGGAGGTTTGGTGGCGGATGTTCCATGCTAGTAGGGCTTGCTTAACGAGGAGTCGTGAGCTAAGGGTGGTAAGCTTTGCATGATGGAGGATCTAGGAGGGAACTGTGGTGAACTGGTGCAAAGAGGGGAATCCGAAGGCAGATGCGTATAGTGCAGCGCTGAATTCTCTCCAGTGTGTCCCGCTGTTGCTGTGTGGTGTTGGATATAAATAGGCTGAAAGCGTTCATTGTGCCACGTGTCTTGTGGAGTTGGTGTAGCGTTAGTAGTTTCTTGGCTTTGTTGGTAGTTTATATGGTGTGTCGGGTCCCGGATGATCGAATCTCGTCTTGGAGTGTAACGCCAAGGTGCCTATGTTGGTGGACCTACTGCAGCAGAGTCAAGTAGAGTGTGATGTGGATGATGTGTAGGGGTTGGAAGGAAAGGACGACGGTTTCGTGGTGCTGACGAGGACCTATTACACAGTAATGGCCGATACTGCCTGTTCTGCCGTCTCCGAATACGCTGAAGTAAAGAATCCGCGCTCACGAAATGCTATAGTAAACATCATCAGTATGGTTGGTCTCAGTATGGCTGGTCTCCTTTCTCATTTACGTGTTCTGCTCTAGTCTGTATACGGGTACAATGTACATGTATAGTGGCGTCGCCAGTTGTGTGGATTAGGCAGCTATATGGCGCTAGTCTTGATCTGTTTCATTCGGATCTTGTCCGCGATCGTTGCTACAAGAGAAAATCTGAGGGTGCACATCCAGTGCATTTGCAGATTTGCGTGCTTCTCTGGCGACGGGCGCATACAAGGATTGGTACCTGCTTCAGTATACTGCTGCGGTGTATAATGTTTTAAAAGTACTTACTTCTAGCTGGCGAGGATGTAGTTGTTGATGTTCCATAACTGGTTTTTTTCCACATTGGGAACCAAACGGGCCGGGAAATGTGTGCGAGAACCATCACGGATGTACTGCCTTTAGTATACTGCTGCTGCAGTGTATAATAATCAGTATTACATGATGTATGTACTACTTACTTCGAAGTACGAAGGATGCCTAATCTGTAACCTGTTTTGAACTGAGTGAGAATCACGGAGTAGTGAAACAGTAATTAATACTTTTAGCTGGTACTGGTCAGGATGTAGCTGATGATGTTCCATAACCGGTTTTTTCCACGTTGCGAACCAAACGGGTGGGGAAATGTGTGCGAGAAACATCAGATGTACATGAACATGTAAGCTTAGATTGATTTTCGTCATTGGGATGTCCGGGCTACTGTCTGGAACGTGCAATTATTCTTCTGCTTGTCAGCAGGAGTTTGGACAGGAACCCTCTAAATGGTCATGGGCTGACGTCTGGTTGACAGCTCCCGGATTCCACCACATGCCAAGTGCTCTCTGTGGTGGCGCTTCTGCCATAGTCCCAGTGCCCGCAGTGCCCACTGGAATGACAACCCCAGGCCCAGACCAAGTAAACAACACGTACCTGTAGTCGCTTTGCTCATCTGCATCACGTGAAGTTGCAAGACCAGACTACTAGGACACTGTACTAGTATCGCCAATGCCGACTGGACCCACCACTAGTACGTCGTCTTTGCCACGAACTTCTGCGGCGCGACATGTTTCCAGGAGTGTTCAGCCGGCTGATGCCCCTGTCGCCAAGAGGTAGACTCTGTAAAGTGGAATACTGATTGAATGATTGCTATCAAGAGTGCATGATCCCCCAGGTGGTCATGTACTCTTGTTGCTATCAGGAAACATTTTCAATGGTAGCGTTTTGCGAAGCAGTCACGCAGTCAGGGCCGGTATGGCGTCCACTCTTGAGCGCCCAAAAGGGCCAAATGTAGCTCGGTTCAATCACTAATATACCACCGTGTATAGCTGTGCATGGGGCACCAGATCGAAGGCGGGCAGCCGTACAGCCCAGGGGCAGGGGGTGATGAAGACACGTCCGTTTACAACAGGACTGGAGTATTTCGGTTGAAGAAAAACAATACCGTGCATACTGCTGGCTGTAGGGACAATCCACACCGCCACGCTCCAATCGCAGCAACCCGATTTGGCGAGCGAGCGACTTAATCCGTACACGGTGTATAACCAGGATACTCTTGGCACTAACGTTATAACTTATAGCGTTACTAGCACTGAAACGCAAAATACGTCATCTTGTGGCACATGACAATCACGTCTGCCTGTTAAAGCCACTCGCTGGCTTACCAGTGCTGCTGGCGCCAATAATAGCAATATGAAAAATAAGTGAACTGGGTGGTGCAGTCACAGGAACTACAACACAGTGTGTGTCCGTGTATGTGTGTGTGTGTGTGTGTGTGTGTGTGTGTGTGTGTGTGTGTGTGTGTGTGTGTGTGTGTGTGTGTGTGTGTGTGTGTGTGTGTGTGTGGTGTATGTGTGTGTGCATGTGTGTGTGTGTGCGTGTATGTGTGTGTATGTATGTGCGTGTGGCATTACCGTTGCGAACGGCAAAGGGCATTCCTGCACGTTCCTGGGTTCGTCTCGCACGATGCGTACACGATACACCATTCTCCTGTGACTGCCCGATGTTTTTAGGACCAGAGCTCCGTGTTTACCACACCTTATGAAAACTGAGTAACACTCGGTAGTGTGTATTGCAGAATGCTAATCAGTTGATGCGATGCCATGCTTTTTCCTTCTGTGTGCAGCATTTGACAAGAGCCTGTGCAGCCAGTGGTTGACAAGATAGACGGGGTCGGCGCAAGGCTACTGGACCTAGTAGCACCGTTGAACTCAGATAAACTCACTCGCGAGACTCGAAGTGCATGCTGCATAGACGCATTGCTTGTCAGCGTAAACGTCAACGTGCCCGCCATCTCGCTCAGACTAACGACAAGACATCGCTCCCTTCCCAGCTCCCTTCTTCAGTTCTTGCGAGAGCCTCGCTACCGCTGCCGCTAGATGATCGCTTCGTGCAAGCTGAGAGCGACCTCTCCGAGTATCATCCTTAGTCGCTGAACCGGACCTGGCTACACACCTGCCGCTGCACTAAGCACACTAATCCACTTGTCAAAACGCACTGCAAATTCCAAGCCGACCTTAGTTGAAGGCGCGCCTGGCAAAAAGACGGTAGTGAGCGAGCTGGGGATGGGCTCGAGCCAGTACTAAGGCAAGTTACACAATGAGCGTGCGCTAATAACGGTCGTCCTTTCCAGCCCAAACCATCAGACTCCAACCTCTTTCTCCAGAGCGTGCTCATCAATGTGACTAGAGAGGAAACTGAACCATCTGAACAACTAGAAAACAATGGAGCCACAGCGCCACTACCCAAGCCAACAGCCCCAACCCCATCAGCCAGCTCACGGCCAGTACCTACAGTTTCACATGGAGCCGAAGCCGGAGCCCACTTCCACTCTCGATCTCAGCGATGACGCCACGTCCGACTCGCTCAAACACGACCAGCAGTCTGCCGGCGTCGTCGCCGGACCGCACGGCGTACACCCTGACCTGGCCAGCTACGAGCAAAGCTTGAACGAAATGCGTAAAACACGCGGTCGCGTCAAGATCAAGATGGAGTTCATCGAGAACAAGCTGCGACGCTACACAACGTTCAGCAAACGCAAGACAGGCATTATGAAAAAGGTAAGCATTTTCGTTGTTCATAGAAATTAATTAGGAAGATTTAGAATCTTCGTCCTGTTCTTTCACATTCATCCAGCAATGTAGAGTTGAAGAAAGAACTCGACGGTCACTCCGGGTGCTATGCTTGAATTGGCTTTGCGAAAGCCGCACGTGTTCATTGAAGCACATTATCCGGTAGAGATTCGCTGATTGAATATATCCGTGAATTAAATTTGCGATAAGAGACGTTGACATTCTCTCTAGTCTCGTAGCCTGTGGGCCGTGGCAGTGGCAGGTGGTGGACTTATCAGTGTACTTTGCATCCCCGGTCCGCTCTTCCTACACATCTGCCATCGACCAATGCCTGTAGCAGCTAGCCTGGCCCGCCGCTTCGCGGCTTCGCTGATGATACCACCCGGCTTGTGCAGTCCAGCATCACGAAATCTCGGCCGGTTGCGTCATACGTAGCCTCGCTCCGGAGAACTCTCACCTTACCTGGATAGACAAGATAGAAGCCTACAATATGCTCTGTGCGGGCTTCTGTCTAGAGCAGAGCCTGCAACTCTGGCAGGCAAACAGTGTCTGCTGTAGCCAGATATCTCTACAGCCTATAGTGCATACCCGAACTGGTCCTATTTGTAGTAATACGTGATACTTCCAGGTGCCGCGGTGCAACAGTAAGTCCAGCGAACCCGGTACCATGGCATACCTACGCAGCCGGGTTCTAACTGGCCGCCATCAATCTCCCCGGGAATGAATCTGACTACCTAGCTCCGGTCCAGTCTTCCGTCATTGCATGCAACAATCTTCCTGTGACAACCCTGCAGCCACCTCTACTCCTGAAGCACCTCCAGGCTGTCAAAGAGAAGGTCTGCAAGAACCTCTGCACCATAGTGCAGAACTAGAGTCGCGTGGCCGCACTGTGAATAACTGACCAGTGTGCACCATGCCCTTTCCAAGCCATACCAGATACATGTGTATTCTCGGTATGCTGCTAAGCTCAAGTTAATTGTTCTGTTCTGCTATGTACATGTACATGTATGTGTTCATCTGTTCAAGGCACTCAACTTACCTATTCCCTACGTGCATCCTAGGACTAAAGTACTGGCCAGTGAAAAGCGACCTCATGCATGAAGTAGTGCCACGTGTGTCGATTAAACGGAGTAGTGTTCTCGGTGCTGGTGCCGCTGTGAAACATGGAGCGAAACTCCACTCATGATCATGAGGCCAAATTCCACTGGCGGGTACTCAAGTTGCAGCTTGGTAACTTATCAGCGTACATGTACTGATGAAGCAAATTTTATCTTTCATTGCCTTTGTTTTACGTGCGGCAGGCGTATGAGCTGAGTACACTGACAGGCACACAGGTGATGCTGCTTGTGGCCTCGGAGACCGGCCACGTCTATACATTCGCCACGCCAAAGCTGCAGCCCATGATCACATCAGACACGGGCAAGTCTCTGATACAGACCTGCCTGAACTCGCCGGACTTACAGTCGTCTGGCCAGCAACCGTCGCGCATGTCGTCAACCGGCTATGAGGAGACTGAGCTCACCTACTGTATTGAGGAGGACCAGAAACTGCAGGTAAAGGCCTATGCTGGATTGCTGGCACATGTGGATGTATAATGTACATGTAGAGAGAGAGAGAGAGAGAGAGAGAGAGAGAGAGAGAGAGAGAGAGAGAGAGAGAGAGAGAGAGAGAGAGAGAGAGAGAGAGAGAGAGAGAGAGAGAGAGAGAGAGAGAGAGAGAGAGAGAGAGAGAGAGAGAGAGAGAGAGAGAGAGAGAGAGAGAGAGAGAGAGAGAGAGAGAGAGAGACAGACAGACAGACAGACAGACAGACAGACAGACAGACAGACAGAGAGAGAGAGAGAGACAGACAGACAGACAGACAGACAGACAGACAGACAGACAGACAGACAGACAGACAGAGAGAGAGAGAGAGAGAGAGAGAGAGAGAGAGAGAGAGAGAGAGAGAGAGTGAGAGAGAGAGAGAGAGAGAGAGAGAGAGAGAGAGAGAGAGAGAGAGAGAGAGAGAGAGAGAGAGAGAGAGAGAGAGAGAGAGAGAGAGAGAGAGAGAAATGATCTTCAGTCACAAGAACCGGTCATCATCTTTTCATTGTGCTTGAAACACAATTTTAAAATGCTGAGGACAAAAGAAGTTGGTGTTCATGTCCAATTCATGTTATGCCAGTTATATCCGGCACGGAAGATAATAATACACTTGTACACAGATAACCATACATCAGTACAATGTGCGCGCAATGATGGCGAGCAAATCGTTGATTGTCTGAACTCGAAGCCGCGCAGGGAATTGCAGCAGGATGTTCTGGACTAGCGCCGCTTGTATCTATTAGTCGCTGCAATACCATTTCCTGGCCTGCAAACGACGGCGCTTCAGATCAATTTTCCACCCTGTATCCGCCGTTCTTCTCTCATTGGTTGCACGAAGCTCAAGGGTTTTGACTTTTGGTGGATACCCATGGCAAGTGCTTCCTTGAATTAGAGAGGAGTGGCTGGGGAAATCCCATTGAAAAGGCACCGATGATGATGCCCAGCCTGTCAGCCAATAAGTCGCATGTTCCAAAAAAATCAGCTCGTCCTTGACTATGTTGGTATTGTGTTGCTGTGTGCCATGCATGTAGGATCCACTGAGCTCGGCAATGCTGCAGTCGTACCCTACACCAGCGCCACACCACGCTTCCCGCGACAATCTGGTCGCGAGCAGTAGTAGCGGCATGCCTTCCTTAACCGTCGGCATGCCCCCACTGTCCAGCATGGCTGCGCCGTCACCACACCAGTATCCAATGCAGTCTTTGCAGGCACCCACACCAACCACGCCGTACTCAATCACATCCACCATGGCCAGTCCAGTGTTCTCCTACAACCAGAGTGGTGGACTGATGACTGACCAAAAGCCATCGCCAATCCATCTCAGCCTGGACGATGCGGCTGCAGCATCATTTGCTCCACAAGCGCACTATCTCGGTCAGCCAAGTCCAGCACTCAGCGCCGCGGGATCCTCACCACCTGGATTCTACTCGTCCAGCCACACCAGTGCCGGCATGAGTGCGCTAACACCCAACCAGCTCCACCAGCAATCCACCAACAGGACGCCTGCAGCATCTGCGGCGGCACACTTTGCGGCGAGCATGAAGCAGGACGAGTACTCGCCACGCGGTAGCCCACCACGGTCGCAAGCACAGCACGACCAGGCAATCGTGCCACCGGCCACAGAGCAACTTCTGCACGGGACTACCACCGGCATGCCACTGTCAAGTCCGGTCTCCACCAGCGGCATGCAAGGCATTGGCGGCGGCAGTGCCATGCCATTCAGTACTACATGTATGGGCTTACATGACATCCAGGCCAGCAGCATACCGGGCGGTATGCAGATGCCACCACGCCTGTCCACGTTAGCACAGTAAGGTGTGCATTTGCTATACACACACACAGAGCTACAGAGAGCCGTTACAAGCCACTGGCTCTGGTGCATTTGCTATACACACACACAGCTACAGAGAGCCGTTACACGCCGTTGGCTCTGACAATCACCAATGCCAAGATTACCAGTTCGCGAAACCTAGATCAGCTCATGATCAACGGTATAGCAGTATAGCAGTATTACTTCCGGAAAACGTTATTCTCAACTTTTTTTCCCGTATGAACAGCAACTCTAGCGAAATGTAACAAGTGCCAGTTGAAATCATAGTACTCCTTCTATCCACTGTGACGACTATCAACCACCAAGATGATGACAATATTTGGACCTGTAATTGTTAGGACTCATGCATGTGCATTTCTACAAATCGCCCAGTTACTAGCAGGTTTCTCTGCTCTAAAGCTTATCAGTTGTCTAGCTAGAGTACTAGAGCCTGGTGGTAAGTTTGCCAAGTATCGGTGTGTCATGCATGGCATGGTGTAGAATAGGCAGCTAGAGTAAGTAAGGATAATTTGGTAGAGGTCAGCGTAACATGTAGGGTAAATGATTTGATATTTTCCGCCTTGTTGAACGTATGCATGTATTTTCATTGAGCACGCAAGCATGTACGTTGTTCTCCTCTCCACTTTGCTAGGTTAAATGTACCCTTCTAAAGGGAATCGCCATTCAATTATTATTTTTTCTCCATAGGATTTTTATAAACATGTCACAAAAGTAATATAGGTCAATTCTATTTTTGTGTCACAAGTTGATTCTGGAGTGACACCAACTTCCCTAATCTAATAATGCCATTGGGTTTGATCGTGTCTTTTATCGTTTTATTTCCGCACGTCTTCTTTTTAATTCACGCGGAGTGCAGATAGTTGATAAAATAGTAACCTATTTTTAGTTAGTTTGTGTAGCATGATATAGTTCTTCTTTATTCAAAGAGCGATATAGTCATATACTGAAGTAGACTGGTGTACACTGCCAGAGTCTAGCTGAACCGCCTACGTTAAATTTATCGTTTTTTGTTGCTATTCAATAGACCTTGCTGCCGCCACTGGTGGCTCGTGACGCACAGCTGATGTCTCTTGATGTGTTTGCGTGCGTGCTTTCACCCCTAGCTGGGCACTGGAATACCCTAGCTGCATGCATGCCATCTGTTCATGAGCTATGGCAAGATGATGGCTAAAACCATTCCTCACAAATTCATGCTACATGCATGTACATAGTTTATCGCAAAAAAAGGTTTCACCCTCCGAAAATTAGCCGTTTCACAGTATTTGCGAAGGGCAGTGCGTTGCACGGATAACTACAGCCATGTACTCTGGTGTATGTAGGGCCAGCTGTAGTCGTGCTGATACATGTGCAGTGATGATAAAATTAATGCCAAATGGTCGCATGTGAGCCCTGCTACAGCTAAATGTTATCATAGGTTGAATTTCATTTGTTGCAGCAAAAGTACATAACCCACGTTCACCTGGACTGGATGAGTTATAATTACCGGTATGTGCTCTTGCCGCAGCTGTAGTAGAAGCTAGCAATCTACGCTACGATCTGCTCCCGTGCAGCTAGCTGGCTTTATTGTTCTAAACTTTGGTTGAGTTGTGACGTCGCCTGAACCTTCATTGCAATGACCAACTATGTGCCTTGGGTACTGAGCACTTTGGCCTGCCTAAGGTTTTCAGTTCTCACTGTATAACACAATTGTAACAGTTTCTGCAACGGTACAGTATTGTTTTAAACCCGCATGAACTACTCTCACTGGCCACCAGTAATTCAGTTGCATTGTGTTACGTGCAGTTTCAAACAGACGTCCACCACAAGACATGCTACTCAGAGCACCTCGTACGGTATCAAGGAGTCGAGAGTAAAGAAAACATACATACATGTACACACGCATGCATGTATGCATGCGTGAACGCACATGCACACACGCACCACCCCCACCCCACCCATACACACAGGTGACGGGTTGCACGGCAGTGTGTAGTGAGTTTCTCCAGTGTATTCAAGAAACACGGTCTCGACCAAGATGGCGCAGAATCTCATTTACGTGTGCTTCTCAAGTCGGAGAATGCAACAACAAAAACTCAAAACTCCTTTTCAAAATAATGTGTGTCTTTAAAAAAAAGCAATCATTTCAAGAATAGCTAGATTACAACGGCGAGTGCATCTGATCTGCTGTAAAATTCACAAATCTGTGCCAGCACAGGTTTGATGTACAAGTACAGTCTGTATAACAAGAGTTCCCATGTCATACAAAGGAAACTTCGCGTCAAATGTGTCCTACTGCAAAGTACATGTAGAGCAGGAAGTAGCATTTTACTACTCCAAGATGTAGAGTGTGAATCAGGGAGTAGTAAAATTGTACTGCTCCCTGGTGTGAATGGATGCATTCGTGGCCTGCACTCGCGGCACCGACAAGGTCTTAGGTGAGGTGTAGATACTCAACGACGAACACACGCAGAATGCGGCTGATGTTGTCGATCGTGGCGCGGTCCAACGCCGTCCAGTCGTCGTGGATCGTGTGCCAAACCTCCGGGAACGGCAGCGTTATCAAATGCAGGCATGGTACGCCTGAGGCATGAGCAAGAAGAATAGGACAATGAATAGATGATGTTTGAAGTTCGTCCATTACAGGCGACCTTGCTAATACCAACCTTGGATATAGCGACAAATCGCGAATATTAACGTTTTTTTGGAGGCCAGCGCAAACGATCATTTGACTACGCAAATTCAACCTTGGAATAGCGACCATTCGCCAATAACGACACGAATTTCGTGCCCGAGACCAAGATCTGGGTGTGTACACAATGTGATAACAGTTGCGACAATTGTTTTTCTGTGGTTTGGGGAACTTTTGCATTTTTGCTGTTTTCACGCATGCACGGTACATGGTAGAGCTGAGTGCTTGGCATAGCCATTGAGTAGAGCCAAGGACTACGTAGGTTTACTACATAGCGAGCACATCACAGGTTCACAATGGCAGGAGACTCAAGATTCATGACAAGAATGATTGTATACGTGGCAATATGCATGGCAGGGGCGGATCCAGGATTTTTCCAAGGGGGGTTCAATTTTTCCCACCCTACTCACACTGACGAAATGATGACATACAATTTACATGTATAAAAGTGCACGTTTGCGTGATATTATTGAAGACGCGCGCCACAAGGAAAATTTTTCATTCAATGTCTTTGCTGCAGAATGGCTGATTGGTACTTTTCTCCAGCTCTTCTATAATAATTGTCCGTCGTATTGTACTCCGAGCCACCCAATGTTGATTCCAATATACTGGTATGTAGAGTAGGTTCCATGAGGTAGGCTTCCTGCATCTTCCGTGTCTTAGTCATTGACTCATTGTCCCCAGTTCGGGGAAAGTGTTATTATTGGATGATGGGAGGTTGAACTTGAGCGTGATTTTCAAAGTATCGCTCTTTGTTTCACCTTCGACACTAGTGGCTACACTTTTCTTTGGAGTGTCACCAAAATTCAAGGGCAGCTTGTACTGAGCCTGCCTCTTTTAGACGCTTGGACGAACTCTAAGACAGCTCAAAAAGCACGAGCCGCGACGGCACCGCACCATTCAGAAACTAGTATTTGAAACTTACTTTCGAAGTTTCCGTAGCAGCTCAACAAGTGCACCTCTTTCTCCGAACCGAAACGTTCAACGCGTACCTGTAGGTCTATGTACATGTAGCTGTATATTCAGTGCGGATCTACTTTACTTTGTAAATTGTATATCTACTACAGTCGTAGATCTACGTACAAGACAACAATGTTCTATGATATAATCCAAAACTGGTAAACCAGTATTAGATAAACCTTGTTGTAGTTCACGCAATTGTTAGATTGACAGCATGAAACAAGGAGGAGGACACTGTGTTCGAAAACAGTGACCTTACTACAACCTTCCGCGGTTGGCAGAGCCCCGGTCCCTGCGGACCATTTGAACCATATGGGTATCGCACCCGGTTCTGACCCTCGTTATGCTAGGGGGTTAGGAGACTACTCCTGATGTCGTCTTGTTGTCTTCGCTCTTTTTTAACTTGTATAAAAACTTCTTTCTCTTTTTCTTTCCAACTTCTGCCTATGGCGTCCTTCTCTCAGCTCGTCAGCTGTAAACAGTTTTTTTGTCATCACCATGACACTGGGGCTCTGCCAACCACGGAAGGTTGTAGGAAGGTCACTGTTTTCGAACACAGTGTCCTCCTCCTTGTTTCATGCTGTCAATCTAACAATTAACAATGTACTAGTAGTACTACCAAGCTGCATAGCTAGCGGACCGCTCCGGCCTGGGCCGACTGGGCCATAGCATGGGTCAGTGGTCACACCTGAACTATGGTCGGAAAAAATCAGGGGGGTTCGTTCGCACCCCCCGAACCCCCCTGGATCCGCCCCTGCATGGCGTGGCACAGCTGTATCTCCCGACCTCTGCAAAGACTATTATTATACATGCCATTTGCGGAAGCAGCATTGGTTTAACGAAATACACTCAACTGGCTTGTGTACGGTATTTTTTCTCTCTCTTTGTTCACATGCTTATTCTGGTGTTCAGAAGGTGTTGAAAATGGCAAAAATGCGAAAAATAATCTCTCAGCTCTGGTCCGAAAAAATTCAGTAATTTTACGTACAGGATTTGGATTCATTGTCTGTGAAGTACGAAGTATGAAGCTGGTGTCGAAAACCTGAATTTAAATGCTGTATTTTGGCGCGACCAACGCGTATAGCCGATTGGTTTGTAGTCTTGTCTGCAAATCATAAGGTTACGAGTTCAAAACCTGCGCTGGTAACAGGGAGTGTGTTTAGTGCTCTCTCAATCACGCTGATGCGGGCGGGTACCACTTTACACGCAATGAACTGTGCCGACACCCACGGTGAACTCGGTACTCACTTGCTCGGTGTGAGGGTAACAAGGATGCGGTTTACGGGGTTATGGGGCCTTTACACGCCCGCTTGTTGAGAGACTTATCCCCTCTCCCCTGACTCACTTGTGAGGACTGCATTCGACACTGAGGATATATGGGTGAAGTGGTCATCCGCCGATGTGAATGTATTTGCTTGATGTGTTAATCAACATGTCAGGTGATGCGGCCGTGAATCCGGCTAACTGTACTTTTATTTTGGCATACGTACCAAGTTTTCTGTTAAAATATGACCACTACATTCATTCAAATGGCACCACGCGAATAGCAACACAATTCTTCAGCCCGGCCAAATGTCGTTATCCGCATGGTTGACGATACTACAAGCGATGATACTTCAAATACTGTCGAGCGTCTGAGGTAGAGAGGATGGTACCGATACAAGCTTCCCACTGGCAACAGCATAACAACACCTCGAGAATAACAACATGAATCTTCAGCCCAGCCAAATGCCGTTATCCGCATGATTGACGATACTTGTACTTGCTCACTGCCAAAACTGGTCACGTGGATCTCCCGGGGAGAGGGGAGAGAGACGATACCACAAGCATCCTACTTGCAACGGCAAGTCCGTGTGGCGTTGAGGTAAATACGTGCAAGACCTCATTCATTGCGGCAAGAGCACACACCGATGGTACTGCACAACACTGTCAGCGACTACTGTCCACGGGCATCTGCGACGGCAGAAATTCACAGCACATGACAAACACAGCGGTGCACCCAGCTACACGATACCTCAAAGAAGCTAGCCGACATGGTAGCGAGAGAGGTGTGCCATACACAACCCAGCCTAGTAGGTGGCCACTTTGTGTTGTGTGCTCGGGTCTATTCGACCAGGTAGAACTCTGCCACTGCAGCTCTGGATAGTGAAGGTGCAGGAAAATTACACATTCCTGGGTGACAGGTGCTCTACTCTGAACATGTCTAAACAAAAAAGCAACAGCCTACAAACAAAAAACACGAATGGGTAGAAGCAGGTGTCCAGCATCTACAAGCATTCAACAGAAAACCTGGGCTACTAACAAGGAGTCAACAAGGTTACAAATAAGATGACACCTGTCAAGCATGACTGCAACTACAGCAAGGCCAAAGACAGGAGAAGCTTAGGATATCACAAGTGGGCACAGCGAGTTGTAGCGCAGCTCAGGGACGTATCAACCTCACATCAAAGGATCTCAGGCAGACGCAGAGTCCAGCTGGCAGCTGAAGACACGGGATTGAACAAGGATACTCCAAACAGGCACTGGCTACAGAAGATGCAAGGGAAGCACCCAGCTAACATGAACAGATTAGTGGTGATGTTCGCACCTTGCTAATATGAACAGATTAGTGGTGATTCGCACCTCGCTAACAGCACGTATACTGCTACAGCGACTGTGCTGCTCAAAGTAGCCTGATTGTGCACGTCAAGTACACACGGGGCGCAGTGCAGCCCCAGACCAGTCAACACTGGGCTTTGCACTAGTGCAGGCTCAAACTGGACTCACGCGATCGCACTTCATCGTGCAGCACTGTGCATATAGTGGCAATGCCCTCACACGGCTAGCTGCATGCATACCGATACAGCTACATGTGGTGCTTTTGAACCTGTTTGTTTTCTTTCTCTGGAAGACTGTATGCACTAAGAATATCAAACATAAGACACTGCTAAAACTGAGAAGAAACTTAGAATTGGATTCAACCACTGTTCACCATGAACTCTTTTCAAGACAAGGAGAAAGCAAAACAACAAAACCAAAGCTGCTAGAGCACTGCACGCGGAAAAACTCTGCACGTGAGATGCCGTGCAGCGGGAAAAAGGCCATACATCTGAAGCATACGTCTCGTGCACAGGAGCACAAGCCCGGGAAAAACAGGGTTGATGATCACATGATTTCACGCATGAGTGATACCATACATGACCTACAGAACTAGAGAATGATTGTGGTGAAAACAGACACATAAATCATACATTTCTCCCCTCTTTGCTCGAATAAGGCAGAACTATGGTTGACGGATGAGAGCAAGCTAACGTAAACAGAAGAGATCACACTACATGTATAGCATGGATTGAACGCTGCACCAAACTTGAGTGGAACGGCCAACGCCGGAGAATTGGACTGTCACCTAAGAACAATTTTGAATTTTAAGATGATGAGAAAAACAGCAGATAATGATCTCCAAGTCGGGTGCATGACCATATCAATGTTCCTTAAGAACATGTCACTTTGCTGTACAATACTGTTCGTTGCTGCTAGCAGTTCACACGGAGCGAAACTGTTCACTACTGCTAACAGTTCACTGCTCACTCTCGAGTGGAATCAGGACATTGATAGCACGTCGGTACACCCGCTTGCGGATCTTGACGTCCACTACGCGTACACAACCGTCCTCAGCCGGGTATACAGCAACCACTCGACCGAGTGGCCAGGTACTTCTAGGGGTGTGTGCGTCAACACAGATGACGACATCGCCCACCTTGATGTTGCGTTTCTTCTGCTGCCACTTCTGCCGGACGTTCAACGTTGGAACCACCTCCTTCACCAACCTTCGCCAGACGTCTTGAGTTAGGCGCTGTACAACTCTCCACCTGTCATGTGGATCAGGCTGTCCGTCAGGCTCCAGATGATCGATGGCGTGGTGGATATCGCGATGACCCACGAGGAAGTGCAG